GCACCAGAACAGATAGATAAGTGGCTCGTGTACTCACGGTCGTCCCTTGAGATTGTAGCCGGAGTACTTGACCCCGGCGATGGCGCGGTCGGAGTTGTCTTCGTCACAGGTGTTCCCGAAGCTGTCGGTGCCGTACACAAGGCGGAACGGGTCACCTTTGCTGATGGAGAAGGCGGCAATGAAGATCTACAATAGAGAAAGAAATAAGAATTTAACTTCATTATTTTGCTCTGTACACATTCATGTAAAAGTACATTTCGATTTCGAACCCACTCCTTTTTTAAAAGCCTACAACACAAGAATACCTGACTACAGAGAGAGAGGTAGACCAAGGAAGAGGTGGCTTGAGGGAAGTAAACGGCACACTGAAAAACGTTCAATTCCCGGTTACATAAAGCTAGCCAGTCTGCCAAGATCCGAAGTCTTTACCTCCCCGCCACACCTCTCTGTAAAAGCGGCAGAGTAAGTAAAATACGTATTCTAAAAGTAATAAAAGTGTCATTGTCTTCAGTGATAAAGTAGCACGACTCAAAGGTGACCCCACAGAGAGTGGAGACCCTGGATGAGCGAAGTAGATCAAGTGAGTTCCGAATGGAGGGCTCGAGTTTATTTTTGCTCACACAAACGAGTCGGAACCTACAAAGACGTTATCCGGGCTGGGGCGAACGTTATAAGCGGTTAAAGTAGCCGCAACGGTCAGAGATAGATACCCCATAATCAATAGCCAAATACATTAGACGAAAATCATAATCATAATTCCAAAATGTTAGAGAATATTATTTTTTGGGGGGTTTTAAGCAGGATGAACAATACATTGTTTTGAAAGATAAAAGAGAGGACGATTCAGCAAGGTGTCACTATACCCTTGGGGCTGAGTAGGAGGCTTTAAAAAAAGGGAGGGGGCGAGGAGGAGAATAAAAATCAATAGATGACAGACTGTCAATAAGCCATATAGGGGGTGAGTAGGTAACACATGTTTGTTTCCCTGTAAGGTAAGGTTCTTTTTTCAAACAAAAACCTGTCCAAGAAGGCGCCTCTGTCCATTGCAATAATTATTACGAACATTGCAACAAAACACACACACACACACACACACACACACACACACACACACACACACACACACACACACATACACACGCGCGCGCACAAAGCACGCACCCATACATACACACATACACACATAAGGAAAACCCAAGAAACTCCCCATGATGGTTACTAAAATCTGAATGTTTTTCTTTGTATTCCTTTTACTTTATGTAAAGTGTTTCAACGCAGTTGCACAAGAATATTGAGAAACAGAATAAAAAACTAAACACTAATCAATTCTAACTTCCAAAATTATGATAAGTGACAAAATGAAAGCGAACCGATGCCATCTCAGAAAAAAAAGTAGATTAAAGCATTTTTAGTAATAAACCAAAATGTTGGCATTGCTGGCTAAAACAGAAATGAGAATTTTTTTTTTACATAAGGCAATCAAACTCTAACCGATGCCACCTTTCTTCTTTTCGGTCTCTGCCTTTGATGTCAGCTAAATGGAACTCTAGCATTACGCTGGGCCTGAAGCTCTCCCCAGGATCTCCATTAAGAAGGTGTGGACTCAATGAGGCGCAGCGCACATAACGTGAAATATGTAGAAGCAATCAGGGCCACACGGCGTAACTTGCTTCACTGTTTGATCCCATCTTTCTTCATTTTTCCATCTTCACTCCAAGCCCTTTTTGGTTTTGCCGTTGTTGATAATGTTGTTGTTGTTGCTACTGTTGTCGTTTTTAATAACAACCTGTCAGTTCGTCTGTCTGTCTGTCTGTCTATCTGTCTCCGACCCCTATCTTTCTCTTTCTCCCACTTTCATTCTTCTGTCTGTCTGTCTTCTGTCTGTCTTCTGTCTGTCTGTCTCTCTGTCTGTCTGTCTCTCTCTGTCTCTGTCTCTCTGTCTCTCTCTCTGTCTCTGTCTCTGTCTCTGTCTCTCTCTCTGTCTCTCTCTCTCTCTCTCTCTCTTTCCCACCTTTCACTTACGAAACAAGAACTCTTCATTGACACACAGTGGGTCCTGAGGGCAAATCCTGCTCAAACCTCCCAGTTTTCTTCACTCCATTGACCCTGTGTTGAGGGGAATAATGAAATCGTGGACGAGGGGCCAACAAGTAGCAAACTGGCTCCGGGCCTTCGACTCACGCCCGCCGACCGACCTCCCATGCCATAGAGGAGGAAAGGGGTCCGGAAAAAAAATCAATACTAATACGGAATAAAAACCAGGGAAAATTTCCATGAATTAAGTGAGCAGTGCTGAGGAGCGGGGGCCGTTGAACTCTCCATCAGTTTAAAAGCTCTTGTTCTTTTCGAGAAAGCAATTGCGTTATACACGGAAAGTCATTTCTTTTTTCGCGAGAGAAGTGGTTTGGTAAAGTAACTGAGGTGGATTGCTTAAGTTTGGTAGACACCTCGGCCCTGTTCAGTTTCCCAGAACTAGTCTAAAGGTGAAGACGCTCTTTCTGACCACATTTTTTTCCAGGAATAAGAAAAGAAATGAGAAATGGGCAACATCCCGAGTATGAGTCAAACCGTATTAGTTTTGTTTTTTAAAAATAGTTTTGTTTTACTTCACTTGAGAAAAATAGTTCGCCCTCTCCATGATTTGAATACCATATGGTATGTTACAATCATACTTCTGACCCGATCAAGTACATCCGACATGTCGAAGAAGTGTGTACCCTTCTTCACTTGAGCCTCGAAGTGATTAGCAGAGCAAGACGGGTCGGTGTTATTGAAGATGGAATTGTGTTTGGCTGTTCGTGGATTACTGCTTTGAAGGAGTCATTTGGGGTTTGGCAAGGCGTCCAATCAAATTGTCGTCTCTCAGAGGAAATTGATTGAATGATTTAATCGATACCCTGATTTAGCAAGATTTTCATTTACTACTTTTTTACGTTGTGCCTGAAGTTGACTTCATTTTTCTACTTCTGAGTTGCGTTGCAGACACATGGGCCGTTGTCTCCTTAGATCACGTGACGTTCTGAATGCACGATTAGATTCTGGCGCCAGTGTCAGCAGACAGCTAGACAAACAGACAGACAGACAGACGGACAGACGGACAGACAGACAGGCAGATAGACACACAGACACACAGACAGACGCACAGACACATATATAAATAGTTGGACAGGTACAGAAAAATTCCTTAATGATGGACAGGCATGCAAAAGATAGAAAGATAGTAGAAACATACGTACATAGCTCGGCAGACTTAGAGATGACCTGAATCTTAGACTGAATGAGCAAGTGACAGACAGAAAAACGAAAGGACAATTTTTAATCACACGTGCAGATAAATACAGACACAATGCGGGCAGACACACAATGGCAATGGACGGGGAGCCAAAAATCTCAACAACAAATGCAGAAGTGACAAAACACCATTAGACAGACAAAGTAGAGTTCACAAATCTGTCTCCTTCGTGACAGAGTCAATACCAGGAAAGCGTTTAAACAAACCAGAGCATTAAAATTAAGTAGTCCTATCAGGTTTTGGGAATAACAAAGGATGGATGGGGGACTAGAGGGTCAGAGAAAATAGGAGAGAGACTTTTATTTTAAAAAATTAAAGAGAGAGAGAACAAGAGAGAACAAGAGAGAGAGAGAGAAAGATCGAAAGAAAGAAAGAAAGAAAGAGAAAGAAAGAGAGAGAGAGAGAGAGAGAGAGAGAGAGAGAGAGAGAGAGAGAGAGAGAAGGGAGAGATGGTTGATGGAAGAAAGACAGACAGAGGCGTAGTAGTGGGGAAAGGGGGAGAAAGAGACAGCGATTGAAAAGGGAAAACAGAGAAATAGACAAGAGAGAGACGGAGAGAGAGAAAGAAAGAAAGAAAGAAAGAAAGAGAGAGAGAGAGAGAGAGAGAGAGAGAGAGAGAGAGAGAGAGAGAGAGAGAAACAGCAAATTTCCTCTTATTTTGCCTGCTTAAGTAAGTTCATTCGGAGAGAGGGTGGGGGAGGGAGAGAGGGAGAAAAAAGGAGGGGGGGGGGGCAAGGTTAGAAAAATCTCTAAACATCAGCGTGGTATCGACGGCCTTGCGACCAATCACGACAGAGAGGAGAAAACAGAAGGAAGCAAAAGAAGCAAGCCAAACACTCCCGGTAAGAATCGATTGGGACGTCACGACTGTTTGAAAAGTGAGGGTAGGAGCCGAGGTGAGAAAAAGAGACTGAGAACGGAAAGGAGGGTGGAAAAGCAATCGGTTACACGATTGAAAAACTGGAGAACGATAATATTGTCTGGCAGACAGACGGACAGATGGAGAGATAAACAAAAAGCCAGCCAGACGGACCGAGTGACAGTCGAAAGATGCTGGACGCATGAACGGGTACATGGTTGGAGAGACGATTCGTCAATCTGAGCTTCCAGAATACAGAACAAACAAACAAACACTAAAGGATATTAAAAAGATTTTCGTTTCGACATGCTTATCTAATATGTGTTTTTTTTGGTTGATGGCATATCATATAAGGAGAGAAAAGGCTTTATGCTATCAGTGCCCCAAGACGTTCTTCAAAAATGTATCGTGACAAATCAATGGACTATCAAAGCGGGCCAAGAAATGTCGCTGCTGTGAAAAACAAGCATTACGTAATGTTCATCTCCTGATATAAATCCCCTCAAAGGTTAAAATAAAGATTCCGATGCAAACAAGGATATCTTTACAACAAAACTATTCCATTTCATCGGATTCCATTAGTTAATTTGCAAATCCTCCAAAAAGTAAACAGACCATTCAGAATCTGACGTACTTATAGTACGTCATCAAACTCCACAGATGTCTTAAGAAAACATAGCCATTGTTATTCCACTTCATTTTATTTCATATTTTCAGTTTCAATAAATACGAAACTCAAATAAACTAAAATATAATCATCCTATAAAATACCCTTAAGCAAACAGGCTCCGAAAAGGTCAGAGGGGTACACCGGCGTTGACACCGAGAACGAGTCCGCCATTTTCGGGGTGTCAAAGGGAGAGAACCGGAATGAAAAGGTCAAGCTCGAGTTCTCGGTATTGGATCAGGCATTGGCTATGAACACATGGGGTCTGGTCTCCTCGGGAGTAATTTGACGTAAAGGCCGGCAGGAGACCGTGAAGGGGATGAGTCTGAGGGGGGTATGAGACAGGCGGAAGAGAGAGACAGTGAAAG